AACAAACGGGGAAGTTACGTTTGGAAATGCAATTAGGGTATTGTGTCCTCTTTCTGCTGAGAAAACAAACAAACGGCAAAACCTTTAAGTATATTTGTCGTTTTGCCATTATAAGCTGCTTTGCGTTGCAGCTTTCAAGCAAGTGTAAAACTTAAGTCCCCATCAAAAGCACCATTAGACCTTTTATCATTCAATCGAAAGCTCAATCGTCAGAGCTCAAAAAACACCAAAGTACTTTGTATCCCACTTTAATCATCACCCCCTAAGCTTTCCTTTTCTGTTAAAGAATAATTAAAAAATATATATATATTAAAGGAACTTTTCCCAATTAAAATGTAAAATTATTTTATATCAATAGGACAACAGATACACATATGTCGCATATTGTCCTAATTTTGTGAGAAATTTTAAATATTAATTATTTTGCCACTTTTGTCACATTCTCTCAAAATTGTAAATTGAAAATTTTTTAATTATGAGTCTCAATCTCTATACTTTTTATATATCCAAAGACATAAAATGCTATATACTGTAATTATTAATTTATGGCGAGAATTTTCAGAGATGTTTTAATAAAATTGAAAAAGGAAAATGTTTTGTCTTATAGCTGTTGAATTGGGCCCCACAAAAATCTGATAGTCCATGGGCTAATGAATGTCTTTTGGTCGGGGCCCATGCAATCGACAAACTCCAGTTCGTACGGTTAGTGTATGGGCTATCTAAAAGCGTACAAAAGAAAGGTTGTTGTTCGTTGGTTCCCACTAGATTGGTAGCCATACAGAATAGCTGGATTCTTTTGTACTCAAAATACAGCTTTTGTTGCCGTAGCCGTAGCCGTATCTGTACAATTTTTATGTTACGCTGCTGCTTTATTATTCTCTTGACAGCGATTTATCGGCAAAAGCTTAAAATCAAAATTAAATTTCTTTTTCTTCTCCCTTTCAGACAAACACTGTCCACGGAGTCGTTTATTTCAGTTAAAACTCTATAATTGCTGAACCAGGAAAATACCATATTAAATTAAATGATTAAAAAATAATATATAATTCATTTTACGATGTAATAAGAGACCATTTTATTTTTCTATTTAATAAATTACATAGAGCGCTAAGACATTATTTGAAAAAAAAATGTATTTATGAAGAAAATAAAAGCAAATTGTATTTAAATTTATTTAAATAAAGCAAAATGGAGAAAATGAAAGGTCGATAGGGCTTTTTGATGGGACAAAAAAACCAAATTGGGGGTTGATGTGTGAAAGACCAAACATTATAGTCTTCATACTTTCCTTGACTGGTACTTGATTTATTACTGTTTATCTTTATTATCTTTATCTTTTTGATGTGCAGGCAGTTTCTTTCTTTTTCTTTTTTTTTTTTTAATCGAATCTTTATAGTATAAAATAAATGAACGGACGTGTGCATATCACATCATATGATATTAAAGATTAACTTAAAATAAGAAAAGAGAATAATCTTATTGTCCTTATCACCACAGTGTTTGCTTTTCTTTTCTTTTTTTTTTTCCCACTGTTTTATACTTGTGGAGTTGTGGACCAATCTATATGTCTGAACTCTAAACTCTAAACAGGAGAATTATAAATTTTTTTAATGGTGGGCTCCAGAAATAAAAAAATTGTTGATGGGCTACTCTTGGTAGCCCACCTATAAAACTGGTTTCACAAAAGCCCAATAAGTAATACTAATTGCAACAGGCCTGCCAAAAAAACTAAGCCCATATTTCTATTCTTTCTCACGAGAACGTTAAACCCAACATGTGGAAAATGTGGTTTAAATAGCAACGTGTAAGCAAAAGATTTGGTAACACTTTACTTCTTACTACAGGATCAAAACATCATGTTACGACTAACAAAATTTGACGAGTCACAAGAGAAACTACTTCCTCATTTCCTAACATATCTAAAATTTTCCTTCACTGTCCAATTAATCTTTAAATCATACCATTTGCAATGGCAGCTGGCGGCCGACATTATCATAGCAAAAGTGGATAATTTTCGAATTAATAAGTCCTGTCATTCTAAAGATCAAATAATATAATTATTAATTAAATATGTTCTAATTAATTTTTTAATATTTTATAAGTGATGAAAAATAAAAAGTATTAAGTTTAAATCCTTTGCGTCATATTATAATAAATAATTCAATGATTGATAAAATTTTTTGAATTCTAATTTTAACTAATAAGCTATAATGCACGACATGGAAACGGGAAACAAATTTTTTGAATTCTAATTTTAACTAATAAGCTATAATGCACGACATGGAAAAGGGAAACAGGAAACGCAAAAATGGACAAGAAAAAACTGCATTTTAAAAAATATAGGAAATAAAAACGTGGGAGAAACGAGTAAAATATAGGAATTTAAAATATAAAAAATAAATATAAAAAAAATTTAGAAAGAGTATATTTATAATTTTTAAAAGACAATCAACTACATTTAAAATTTTCTAACTATAACTAAAAATAAATCATTATAAATCATATTCAAAAGGGAACAAAAGTTTATGAGTTCCATAATGAATAAAGAAAAAAGAAAATAAAATATTTAAATGGGAAAAAGGAAAAAGATAATAAAATTCTGTTAAATTTAAAGTTTGAATACCAAAATTAAAAATAGGATTATTTGTCATTTCCCAAATAGAATTTGCAAATCATTCAAATTTGATTTGAATTTGAAATCTAATATATTTTTTAATGCAAGAAACGTTTCTGGGAAAGGGGAACGAGTGTCCGATTTTCAGTATTTACGAAAATAGATCTAACATATTTTTGAACCATTTTTGAAACATTTTTAAAACGTCAAGCCTCTCGCGTGTCAATGCATCACAGCTAATAAGTATAGATATTAATTTTTGATTTTAAATTTATCTGTATATTATAAATATTTTATATAAATTCATATTGATAAACTTCATATAAAATAAACATTAAAGCTTCAGAAATTTGAATAATTTAATGGAAAGTGATTGCCAATTTTATATTTAAAACTGACATTAGTTGATCACACGTAGATTTTGGAATTGACTGATAAAATAAAGATTGGCCTTTTAGCTTTAAGTGCTTCCATTATTCCCTGTTTATAATTGCCTTAGTAATTGTCGACTTCCTTCATCAGTGCTTTCATTATTTATCTATAAAATGGCTTTTTGGTTGCGCAAAAACTACAAACTAAAACATCATATTAAATTTGAGCAAAATTATTATTTTTTTTTTAAAAAGAATCCCATATTATTAAAATACAAAATATATAAATGATATACTATTGATTCAGAATCTGACGCCAAAGCAAGATTCCTGTCATTTTTGTCGCTATAGGTATTAATGCTAAATCACAATAATTTACTTAATTACTGCTGTTCCCACTATTATCGTGTCAGATTAGCACTAATTAAGCTAATTTAATCTGTCCAAATTAGTAATTTTATTTATTCTTATCCTATACTTCAGTGGTAAAATTATGCCCTAAAACCTTTTCAAATTCAATCTCCCTCCTCGTCATTCCATATAATTTGTATTTTTTATTTTTAATGGTCTTTCTTAAATTGTAATACTGTGAAATGCGGATTTTGTCATAATTTTTTTTAAAATAAAAAAACATGTCGTACGACAAAAGAAAGAAAAACTACTGACATTATACGACAAAGAAAAATAAAAAGCAAAACCATTGATTTTTCACTATTGAACTTCCAAAAACGACGTCTACTTTTCACTATTGAAGAAATGGATATGAAATCAATCCCATCAGGAATTAGGAATTTAAAAAAGGAAAAAAAAGGGAGGGTAGCTAGAGAATTTTGCCTTTGATACATCTAAAAGGGTAACTTTGAATCTGGCCCAGAAACGGGTAAGGTTCAGTTTATACGAGAGGTGGAGAATTTCAAAAGAAAAACGTCAAAATTTACTTTTTTTTTTTTTCCATTTATATTAATCAATAATGTCTTCGGGCGTAGTATCTTTGAATTCAAATAAAAGAAGATTCTCAGAGGCCACCATCCTCCTGCTAGCACAGCAGGTCAAATTCACACTGAGTCAACTCGGGAGCCAACTGTTGGAGTCTTGAGTCTACCAATGTTCAAATCGACAAATTTAAACACAATAATTTATTTAAAATACACAGTATTTTAAATAGATAAGAATTAATATATTTTAAGATTTAAAAATTAAAAAATTTTACAACCTTGATGGCCACAACCACAGCAATAATTTTTCAATCAGGTAAGAAGAATATTATTGACTCATTATATAGAGACATTATTATGATTACTATTGTTAGGAGAAATTTTGCTGTTCAAAACAAAAAGGCCTTTAATGTCAATTGTTCTAAAATTTTATACAGGATTTGAAACTAAACAAAAAATGTAGGGTCACCTTCATTTCTTTTAAAGGAAAAATATTATTTATTCAATGATATTCGGCTTAATATACTAATTTTGTTATTTTCAACCATATTGATATTTAAAAAATTATAAAAATAAATTAGTATTTTGTCCTTCTATCTAAATTTAAGTGATTCTTAATTATTAATTATAAATGAAAGTAAAAAAAATATCTTCATATGTCAGTAAATCTATAAATTCTCTTACTCTCAACTTAATAACCATAAATACCATAAATAAGAAAAAAAAAAGAAGAAGACCCAATGAAAAATTTTGATTATGTGACAAAATTTTAGAGATTTAAAAATTCTGAGAGGTTGGTTCTTAAGATATTAAGATTTTAATTAATAGATAGAGATATTTTCAATTTTTTATAATTAACAACCAAATTAAGTATTAACTAAGATAAAAAAAAAAAAAATACTGAGTTGGTTTTCTTGTACGTATTTTGCTCCGTTTTGCAGGCCGCAGACTCGACTTATTAGAAAACATAACAAAATAAATAAAAAAAATGTCCAGGTTCATCCTCCCGAATTCTCCTTTTACACCTACCATCGCATCCTCTCCTCTGTATAAATCCATGTGCAATCCAATTTCTGTCACTGTCTTCATCTCTTGCTAGTTACTGTTACGTTAATTTCCTAATATCCCTAAAATACCCTCCCTTCCATTATTGAACGCACAAAATAAACTACCGCTCAAAAAGCAACAACTGGGTCAGGAAACGGAGAGCCCTGTTTTTGGTTCTCCTCTCATTCATCAATGGCTTCCATTTCTAACCTTTTCGTCAAAACCCCTTCTATTTCTCACTCTCTTCCCAAATCCTTCAACAACCATTTCGCTCCTCCACTGAGAGTATCTTTCTCTCCAAAACTTCACTCGAAAAGGTTGGCCCGTATTCGAGCGGGGTTGATCGAACCGGACGGTGGCAAGCTTGTCGAACTCTTCGTCGACAAGTCTCAGAAGGATGTTAGAAGGAAAGAGGCGATTTCATTGCCTAAGATTACGTTGACGAAGATTGATAGACAATGGGTTCATGTATTGAGCGAAGGTTGGGCAAGTCCACTTTCTGGATTCATGAGAGAATCCGAGTTCCTCCAAACTCTTCATTTTAATGCCATCCGTCTCGAAGACGGGTCGGTTGTTAACATGTCGGTGCCGATTGTGCTCGCCATCGACGATTTGCAGAAGCAACGGATCGGCGAGTCCAAAAGGGTCGCTCTCGTCGATTCTGACGATAAGACGATTGCAATTTTGAACGAGTAAGTTAGCGAAAGTTTTAATTTTTTTTTTTTTGGCTAATAATCTTTATTTATATCGCATTTTTTAGCTTTGCTGATTGGAATGGCAAGTTAGTGCTAGAAATTTGAGATTTTATGGTGAGAGTGATGATGGGTGTTTGATGTTTTTATTTCGCATGATTTGTTCCATTTATTATCTTATTTACACGTGAAATTAGTTTTCTGTTCCTTTCAGTTGGATAATAACGGATTTTACTGCTGGGTGGAGATTTTGAATTATTTTTAGCTTATATTTCTTAGGTAACTTTTCTCAGTACGCATCTTATGAAAACGACTATTTGAGTTCTGCTGTGATTTCTTTTTATACACGGTGATGATGATGGTGATGATGATTATTATTGGTATTGTAGGGGAAGCAAAAAGTCTTTGGATTTAATTTCATCTTGGTGTAATAATTTTTTCTCCTATGGTCCCCTCTTAGTATTTTAGCTGGAAACTCCTACTGCATATGTGATCATAATAGAAAATTGAAATTCTATTTATTTGATTTCTAAAACACGGACCAGGTAAACATATCACAGGAAGAACAATTTTTAGCATTTGCTCCCTTGAACTAAATTATACATGCTCGATTCGTATTCGTGTAGGTTACGATTGCTCTTCTGTGTGTTTCTAGTTTCTACTATGTCAAATTTGTTTTCGTTTCTGCTCTTTAATCCTCAAGTGCCTTAGATATATAAAGAGAAGTACTTGTATTTATTTCATTACATACAAGATTGTGTTAAGATAACTGTAAAATGTTTTGTGAAGCTTTGACCTTGCAATAAAAATTCTGAAGGTCAATTTCTAGAAACTAGGAAGCATGCTGAAAAGTAAAGATCTCTTATAAATTTACCCTCCCTTTTCTCTTCAACTCTGCATTTTTAGTCTGTAATTTTTTCCCTCAATTCTTCCTGGTTTTCACTTGTGGCTTTTTCTCTCTATGATTTTTCTCTTTATGACTTTTCCTCTAATATGCAACATTATTTGTTTTGTTTCTTTCAGTATTGAGATCTACAAGCACCCCAAAGAAGAACGAATAGCAAGAACTTGGGGTACTACAGCCCCTGGTCTTCCTTATGTTGAAGAAACTATAAAAAAGTCTGGGAACTGGCTGATTGGAGGGGACTTGGAGGTAATTGAACCAATCAAGTACCATGATGGTCTGGATCGTTTTCGATTGTCACCAGCAGAACTCCGCAAGGAATTCACAAAGCGGAATGCAGATGCTGTCTTTGCTTTTCAGCTGAGAAATCCTGTGCACAATGGCCATGCTTTACTAATGACAGATACTCGTAAGCGGCTTCTTGAGATGGGTTATAAGAATCCTGTCCTTTTGCTTCATCCATTAGGAGGCTATACAAAAGCTGATGATGTTCCGCTTAGTTGGCGAATGAAGCAACATGAGAAGGTAGGTGTTTTTAATCCTTTATTTTAACCTGTTTTTGTTCTTTATATGTGTAAAGTTTGCAAGTGAACCTGATTTATGTCTGTTTTTCACAATTTGTACAGTGCTGACTTCATTAATGATATGCATTTTCAGGTTCTTGAAGATGGTGTGCTTGATCCTGAGACAACTGTGGTCTCTATATTTCCATCTCCCATGCACTATGCTGGTCCAACTGAGGTGCAGTGGCATGCAAAAGCTCGGATCAATGCAGGAGCTAACTTTTACATTGTTGGTAGGGATCCAGCTGGAATGAGTCATCCAGTTGAGAAAAGAGATTTATATGATGCGGACCATGGGAAAAAGGTGCTGAGTATGGCTCCTGGACTGGAGCGGCTAAACATCCTTCCTTTTAAGGTACATAAAGCTTTTAGCTTATGCAAACACTTATTTTTTATATTGCCTCTGCTTCCTTAGTAGAACAGTGGAAATGATTTTGGTTATTAACTGGATTTGGTTGCAGGTTGCTGCGTATGATAAGACGCAGGGTAAAATGGCATTCTTTGATCCCACAAGACCCCAAGATTTCCTCTTCATATCAGGCACCAAGGTATGCTCTGCTTAGCTTATAATTGCAGAACTAAAGGAAAAGATAGATAGTTGTAGTATGAGCAAGGATCGCAAAAATAATTTAATTGTTTGATATATGCTCATACTGTAATGCTTGTTTGCATTTTACAGATGCGAACACTTGCGAAGAACAAGGAGAACCCACCTGATGGATTCATGTGCCCTGGTGGCTGGAATGTGTTGGTTGAATACTATGACAGTTTAGCTCCAGCTGACAATGGCAAAGTGCCTGAACCAGTTTCAGTGTAGATGGAATTGCTGCCTCATAATGTAAAGAATCTCATTGGAAGAAACCTTAATACCAATTTATCTCATTTCTGTATGAGGAAGTTGTTGTAAATATTCTCAGTCCAGATCTCTAATAAAATCACGAGGCACTGGTACGGGCACATGAAACTTTGCCTCCATCTGCAATTAGGTTTGCCTGGTGTGGCATCTTTTGCCCTAGTGCTTGGTGCTCTTATGAGTGTTGAAAGCTTGTATTGAACTGTCTTGTGCTTGCCTTGGCTTGTTTAAAGGACACAGATTGTGGGGTGTTTTTATCTTTTGTGAGCAGTTCCATTTTTCAGAAACCCTACTGCATTGAGATAAACTTGAACGACGGGACTTGTTCTAATGAGAAGAAGTCGCAAGGCTTTGAGTTTAAACAAATGCTTAAATCATTGTACTGATTTGGTAAAATAAACATAAATATAAAAGCTATACAGAAGACAATAGAAAAGAAGAGATGATCGTATTGTCATTAGCATGGTGTTTAAATACAAGAAGAGTCCTATACTAAATAGTATATGGTTACAAAATAAGTTACAACATAAATTATCTATCCATAACAACCTAAATAAACTTTATCAATATCTGTTAACTCTTATCTCCAATACTCCCCCGCAAGATAGAGAATCCATCGTGGATTCCTATCTTGGCCCGATTTTGTTGAAACTTTAGCCCTAGTGCTTTGTGGCTCTTAAAATGAGTTGTGATATTTTGAAAGGGCTGTATTTGTAATCTGTTCTGGTGCTGCCTGCTTGTTTACAAGGACACAGATTGTGGGGTGGTTTTTTAATCTTTTGTGGAGCAGTTCCCATTTTTCAGAAACCCTCTGAGCTTGAGATAACTTGAACTGACGCTGGACTTGGTTCTAAATGAGATAGAAGTCGCAAGGCTTGAATGTTTAAAAACATATGCTATAAATATTGTACTGATTAGGTAAAAATAAACATAAAGTTATAAAGCTATACAGAAGACAATAGAAAAGAAGAGATGAATCGTAAATTGTCATTAGCATGGTGTTAAAATACAATAGAAGATGGTCCTTATTGTCTAAATATGTATATTTTTTTTGTTGGTTACAAAATAAAGATTACAGAAAACAATAAATAATTCTATCCATAACAACACTAAAAATAATACTTTATCAATACTGTATAACTCTATATCTCCAATACTCCCACGAGAAACGCAAGATAGAGAAATCCGAATCGTGGATTCCTATCTGGCTCCGATTTTGTTGAAACTTTACTAGTACAGAGATTAGTTAAAGCATATTCATGTTCTATACTGACTTTGAAGAAATTGTTGGTGTGACCCTTAATTCTCACAGCTTTGGAACATTTCTATTGACACAAAAATGAATATCAATCTCCAAATTTTCATTTTTGGAATGAACACTTATTTCTTATCATGTATAGTAACAAACAGTAGAGAATAATAAATAATTAACATAAATAACTAGGGTGTATAATCTTCTTGGTTCCGAATGTTCTCTAACAAAGGATGTAACGCCATTTTTACTCAGATGTTGTACTTCAACAACATACAGATATTCAATCTTTTAAAAAAATGCTTGCTGACCCGAACTATTCAACCCTCTTTTGCTTTTTAGAGCTCCAACTAATTGGAACCTTACCAAAGATAATATTAGAATAATCTGGTTGATGATGTTTTCGATCACGAAGGATTCTGAGCAAATATGCCGCAATCAAACATACGAAATATGCATGAACCAAATCAGCTTGCTTTCATAGAGGATTGAAAATTCCATAATAAAAAATTGTGGATTCAGATAGCAAAGAGTAAGTCACCCTCTTTAAACGCAACACAACCTTTAAGCAGCCAATGGTTCTGCATTCGTATGTTTGCATATACTGTGATAATTTGTTTCAGCAGTGAAAAAGCTATGGCCTGGGCCGAGTGAGATAATAAAATAGATTTAAATATTGCAATCCTCCAATTAATTTTCGATAGGCAGTAGCATCAACAGGTAAAGTCTCATTTTTTGATTTTTGGAGCTGTATATCCGAAGCCATTGGAGTAGAAATCTCTTTCGCACCATCCATCTTTGCTTGCTCAAGCAATTTCCGAATATAATGATGTTGAGTTAAGAAAATCCCTCCATTTATTTGTCGCACATCCATACTAAGAAATAATGACAGTGGTTGCGGATCTTTCAGAGAAAAACGCTTCCCAAGTGCTTGCACAAAACTCTGAACAAACCCATTGTTATTTCCAGTAATTACTATGTCATCTACATAGACAAGAAAATAACAATATACACCATAGACAAAGAAAATAACAATATACACTGATTCTGTTAATATAGAAAAAGAGGAATGATCACATGACTTATATCAACCGAGAAAAACCATAAGCAACAGGTACAAATGCTCTTTAAAGTTTGATTACTCAAGCAGTGTGCTTGCTTTACCCATAAAAGTGCTTTAAATTTCATCTTACAAACCATGTCTGTGGGTTTTGTTGGATTCTTTTAAAAACCTGGTTGGCCTGCTTGCAATATAAACATCTTCGTCAGAGGAACTCATGTAAATAATGCATTATTTACACGTCCAGTTATGAACACTTGGCCAAGCTTAGTAAATTTGCTAAGAGTAAAGCAACCACTGATTTGTCATCTGGATTTGAAAAAACTGGTACTAAATGTTAATTATCACTGTAATATCTACACTAGGGATCTGAATGAATCATAAACACAGAGCAACTAGTCCTTGCTTTGTGATCTGCTGCAAAGATCACCATCAAGCATTTTTTCTTCACCAGTTTTCTTTGTGTACACCCTGAAAAAAATCCATTTACAAATTGATCCAAGATTATAAAGCAAATCGATAATTGGAACAAAAGCACCCAAGTTATTAATTTATCAAGTAATGCTATTAAACTTTGATGTCATTGAGCCTGTCGCTAATAAGCGGGAAATAGCTTTAAAGACTTTTTAACTGAAGACTAGGTGCTGGTAATCGAATGGAAAGGATGCTTGGTTAAACTGGTGAATTAAATAAAAAATTTCTGGCTCTTGAAAATTAATTTATTTTGGAACGTGTGACCATACTCGATGAAGATTAACAAGTGTTGGATAATTAATGTATGTTTCGACACCACTGTTGGAATTTAAATATTCTATTGTGGGCTTAAATGTAAAATTAAATATGTACATAGCAGTCTCAATTGAAAGTCATTTCAAATATGTCTTGATTTGGGTGAATAGATTGACTATTGAGTGTATATCAACTATCTATAGATATTAAAGATGTATAGACCATTTATAATAGTATTAAACGTAAAATGGACTCGAAAATAGGAATTTGTTAACCTAACCCTAAACCGTAATTATAATAAGGATCCGAATGTCCTCAAGGTGAGTGATATTACGATTTCAGTCTAACGTTCCACTAATTACAGTACTGCTGATAGCAAAAATCGATTCTTCATTCTCTGGAAGGCCTGCAAACCAATTCTAACATCAAGATCGACGACAACGATGTCAGGTACGCAACTTTACCTAATTCGATCTATTTTGTTTGAAATCTAGTGGTTTGCCGATTTAGGTTAATTTGGTGGGAATTATTTTGAGATTAATTTTCATTACTAAGTGGTATCAGAGCCTTGTGCATAATTGCCTAGAATTTTAGATTATTTTTCGATTTTTTTTTTATTAATTTGTTTACCGCACTGTTTATAGATTGAGGTTTTGTTAATAAAAAAAAATGTTAATATAAATTTTTGTTCCTCAAAACTGTCTTCGGATTCCCCAAAGAACAGGTAAGAGGTTTTGAACTAACGCCAACGCCATTGACGATTAGTTGTTCGTTTGGTATTTTGTTTTTTTTTTTTTTCTTTGCTGGCTGGATCTTGTTTAAAAAAAAATTGTTGGCGGCGGAAAGGGGCTGAACCTATTATTTTCCGTCCCTTATCGTTTTTGTTTTTAAGGTTAGGGATGGAAAATAACGGTTAGGTCCCTGGAAAATTTTAGATTAGGTCCCTAATTTTCTATTTTTTCGTATTAGGTCCCTAATTTTCTGTTTTTTCGTAATAGGTCCCTAATTTTCTATTTTTTTTTATTAGGCTCCTAATTTTCTTTAACTTCAGATTAGGCCCCATAATTTTCTGTAACTTCAGATTATTTTTTTTCGTCTAGACCCGTGGACATATATTTAATTATATTAGAACCCCGAACTTTATTTATTCAAATTTATTTAGTCCAATTTTATAACTTAGTCTCTAATTTAGTGACTTAAAGACTAGATTATAATTTTTTTTTATTTTTTAGGGCTAAATAATTTTAGATTATTAAATATTTAGACAATCAATTCCTTTAATTGCAATTGTTTTGCTTTAATTACAATTAAATGAATTAATTTGTCGACTTGAGATTAAATTTTGGAGTGATTAAGTCCCTATTGTGTTTAATATTTGTTAAAATAAATTGATTTGATCAATAAGTCACCGATTGATCAATAAGTCCACCAAAGTGAACCTCTATTGCTTGAATTGTTTATTTTAGAATATTAACAGAGTGTATTAGAAATTCCCGTTGCGGATAGTTAAAAAATCGGCCCAAAGGAAAGGTTCTAATCTGGCGAGTTTTGAATACATGTTAGCAATAAATATGTGATAATTGTTTGACAATAAGTATGTGATAATTGTTTGATTATTTTCCATGACAATGATATATCGGTCCAAAGGAAGATTTATTATTTGTCAGGACTATGTTATCAATATTTGATTGCTGCGTTGAGATACTAATTACAAGTGAATATTTTACATCCAAAGATGAGAATATTAATGTTGAGTCTGTATCTTATTTCCATTTTTATCTCTACTTATGTGAATTGTTTCATTTGTGAATTGTGAGCTTATACTTATCTATTTGTTTATTTTCTCTGATGTCAGCTAACATGTCATTTAATCCTGATTGTGTCCCTAAACTTAAGGGATCAAATTTTGAGTCTTGGAAATCAGACATTATGATCTTTCTGGGCTGTATGGATTTGGATCTTGCATTCAGGATGGACGAACCTGCTCCTCTTCTGCCCCCTCTTAACTGATCAGCGAGCACGTGAATGTCAAGGGCTCAGTATGAGAAAGGGGAGCGTTCTAAATCGTTTAGGTCCTGAATGAAAATTCAATGCAAAAAGAAAAGGAGTCCCAGAACATTGTTCGTAGACTCTGTCTCGTTCGAGACTCTGTCTCAGCTGAAAAGAACAATGCTCAAAACTATCTTGCCGAGCTGGAGAGGGCTTATGTCAAGAATGACAA